AAAAAGAGGTATTAATTCTGAAATGTTGGGAGTGTGTGAAAACAATTATGGAATTCAAGGTCAGTTAACTTTGTAGCAATAGGTTATTACATAATGAGTGATTTGCAAAATAATGATGACTAAGAAGAATAGATGAATGAATTATGTGGTCGCACAAAGATACGACTAAGTTGACTTATTTAGCTAGAATAACAATCATAATAAAATATCAGTGTGAAATGATGGTTACTAGGATAGATGGAAAATTATTTGTAAGACTGCATCCATATTATGTAGTTGGCCATGGCAAATTTATGGTTGGGGGATGCACGAATTTATTTGGAACAGATAGATTTGGCTTGTTCAGATGAATTCAGATTGCCACTGATGTATGTTAAAGTCATACTCGTACAGTAGCTGAAAAGTTGGGTGAAATGCAATAAACAACCTTAAAACATCTAATAATATGCACTAGTATTGAGCCACATATTGCCACATATTTGGTCCTTTGTTTAATCAAACTGGGTGGTGTTCAGAAATTCAACGATGAACTTGTCTAGTTGTACAACCAATGTAAGTAGCTGGTGATACCCATGATTGGGGGTGGAAATAGTTAGTTTTTCCTGGGTTTTTGAACTAAGTATTTGTTGACTGGTAAATAAACTGCATAACTTAGCTGGCTTAAAAGTCATTTTGAAAATTCTTCTCATACAGTCTTATACAATCTCACTATTAACATCTCTTCGTAATACTGTTTCTAAGTTTTTCAGACATTCCAAGGTCATCTACCATTTGCGTACCAACTAATCCTAACTTTACCTTAAGTGTTCTTCTACTACATATTGCTAAAACTTTTGGGATCTACATTAAGAAACCTAACTTATGTATTCAAAAGAAGTTGAATCAAACACTGTCCTTACCTTGGCCATCTAAGTTCTAATGATCCTCAGTTTGTTGTGGAAATCACCTTTATTTTATCTGATATTCTATTTGCTATTACATTTTTATGCTTATTATAACTTAAGCGTCTTCCTTGAATTGTAATTCCATTGATCTTACTTAACAAAGTGATAGTATTTAAAAATGCCACTATTGATAATGACGACTGTTTTAGAATATTCTGCATATATATATATATATATATGCGTTGGTGGCACAGTGGTTAGGACTCTTGCCGACCATGCATATGGTCCGGGGCTCGATCCCCTGACGACGCACACCCGATATATATGGTCGGCCTGCGACATTTGGGCTACCGATATCCATGCTGAAAATTCCATACTTGTACTGAAAATACGGTGTGGCATCAAGCTGTAATCAAAATATAAAATAAATAAAATAAAAAAATATATATGTAGAACCAGAAGAGGAAATTATAGAAAAAGATACTCTTTTCCCAGTTTTCTTCCCTAAGTTTCTTATTGTGGTGGTTTTCACATCTGGGTTCAGGGTTCTCTGACCCCGGGTGGAGGCTCACCATTGTACCTCGACGTGTTGAAACTCGCGATGGGCCCTAATCAGGGGCGCTCGGGCGTGTAGTTTTTGTCAGTGGGGAGGCCTCACGGTCCTCCCTTTAAATATGAGCAATTTTCGTTTGACCAAGAATTTAAAAAAACTTGAGAGTTTTGGTTAGCTGTTTAGTTTTGAACTTTTTTCACTATCTGCACACCCGTCATTTTATTTATTACGAAAAAAATTATTTAGTATTGCTTGATTTTCATCGCTTTTTCTCAACTGATTTGAAAGTATAATGAAGGTCACTATGAGATCAGTCATTTGTCTACAAAATTATCAATTGAATAATTTTCAGATTTATTTTTCTGGTTGTTCTGGTTGAAAATCATGATCATTTGAGGTCATATATTACAGCATGAATTAGGTAAGAGTGGAAGGAAACCAGCGTCATTAACGTCAACCTAATAGGTCACACAGGTAACATAGCTGTCTAACAACATGTTATTCATTGACCACCTCGGTAAGACATCGTGGGTGTGAATTGGTTAAACGTAAGCTACTCATTATTGACTACCGTGATTGTCGTCATATCCGACTATCGACCAAAGGGCGTGTGTAATGCTCATCAGTCTGCTCCGTCCTCCTTTATGGCTGTGAGACATGACCATTGAGAGTGGAAGACATGAAAAGATTAGCTGTCTTTGATCATAGGTGTCTGCGCTCTACCTCCCGTGTGAAATGGTATAATAAGGTGAGCAATATTGAAGTTAGGCGTCGAGTGCTAGATAAGGCGGGGAAATCAATCGACGAGACTGTGAAATTACATAGACTGAGATGGTTAGGACATGTGTTACGTATGCCTAGTCATCGCCTTCCTCGACCGATAGGCAATGTTAGCTGATACAGGGTCAGGCTGAAAAAGAGCTAGCGGTGGTCAGACCAAAACATAGCACCAGTCAATGAAATTTACAACAGTTAGTTTAAAGCAGCCACGTACGAAGGTGTAGACTTCCTGGTTGTGGTCCTCGGGACGGTAAAAACCGACAGTTGGAAACAATTGGTGATATGGCTCAAAATCGTTCTCAATGGCTGGCGCACATGCATCCACTCCTTGTGACTTATGATTTCCAATGAAACTGTTTTGTCCTTCATTATTACTATTCCTTTGTCTCACACCTCTGTTTACTGTCTCTATTATGCATTTCTCCTACTTTCTTCTCTTGCTTTGTGTGCTACATGGAGTGTGGCATCCTCAAAATGGGCCGAAATGTCAAGGCGTACTCAGCATTTTGATTTAGTAAAACCTACATCAATTAGATGTTATCGTCTTCTTTTCTATAAAAATAAAACCTGATTGTTTTGTTTTTCATAATTAGAAAACTTTCCTTATGAAGCACATATAGTAACTTATTTTAACAAAGCAAAAATTATGTCTCGGGTGAAGGAAGATAAGAACTACCGCGAGGTGTTTTCGCGTATTATATGGCAAATGCGCAGCAGTAGATATTCCACCCGTGAACAAAAAAAATCTGATAAAACGCATCTTCATAACATTCCAGATGTATCATCTGATATGATAAAAACACTCCACTTAGCATATAATACAAAAGCACATAAGACTAACCACTTGAGGAAATTTAAGCAGCAATCGACAGTCCCGCGTGCTATCTATTCAACCGCGGCAGGCTTGTTTTGCCTTTAACTTATACAATTATCCATATATATTTATACGCGTCTTGTATAAACATAAATCTATAAGTCAGTAGTTAGCTGTTAGACTTTAAAATAACTGCGTAGTTTCTCTCTCTCGCTCTCTGACTGCTGCGTCTTTTACTGGTGTTTTATTTCCTGGTTACGAAAGACTAGCCAATATAATATTGGCTCTAGTCACCGTATCTCTCTTTCAGCATCTAACTTCGTTTAGCATTGACTAACTTTTTATTACTATTAATACTACTATTACTACTACTACTACTACTTTTATTTGCTGAATTTGCATATGGTAATCATATGTAAATGTCTGATATCTGTAAGCTTAGATCGTTCTTATTTTTGCGTATTTTTAGTGTTTTTTGTGTGTGTGTATGTCAGTGTGATTGTTAGGGTGTTCGTCCCTTTCGTATGCCTTTCTGTCTATATACTTTGTATTGTTTTCTGATGCAACTTCTTATTGTTCAACCATTGACTACATGTGTCTTAATCTGATTAGTATGTGTTTATCATTAGAGGTTTTTGTCTGAAGGCATAAATTTATTCATTTGAATGAATTTTTCAACACTGACCATCTCATCATATATAACCACTTTCTTTTCCACTTTCTTAGTAAATTACAATAGGGAAGACTGTAAGTCTACTGGAAACTGGCAGGATTCTATTTTAGGGATGACATCCTCAAGTTTTAGTTTGTTTACAGCAACATTGAAACTTAGCCCCTTTTTCTAATACAGTTTTACTGTTGGTCTTTTTGTTCTCCGATAGAGATTTCTCCTCCTGTGATTTTTTGAATAAGTTGTAATGAGTATTTTGACTGCTGATTTGGCATTGCTAGAGGACTGTATTATAATGATCATAAACCATATTGGTAACTGTCTCCATTAATTTATGTTTTAGCTGCTCGATTCCATCTCTAATATGGCGTAGTATTTGCGTAACAATTATGTGGATGTCTTGTTTTAAGTATACTTTTTGCAGACTTTCTATTCTAGGTAGGAATGATTTCATTTTCGTTATCTAACGTTTTCAGTCATTTTTTAATCAACACAGATGAAAAATCAGTTTCACTTTCAATGAATATTCAGTATTCTCATTGCCTTAAGCATTCGCTTTCCAGCCAGGCGTTCTAATTGGAAAACTGGGCTCCATGTTTCACCTATGAAGGTTCAGAAACTCTGAAACGGGATGAGTTAGGTAGTCTTACGAGTAACCTTCTCTTTTTTCGTGGCTTTGCAACTGGATAGCCCGCGAACTGAATGCCAACTACATGCGTCGCTGGCGAGTATTTAATCCCTGAACTACCAACGCACTACGTCCTTCATTAGTGCTCATCCGCAATCTACCAAATGATAGGGCAGTATACAATCAGATCACATAATGAACAGACTAACATTTAATTATCGAATGGGAATTCAGCAGTACATTATTGATTAAAATCTCCACAATTCAACCAATCAACTTAAAAGTAGACTTTTTCCAATATGTCTGTTGGTAATTGTAAGGAAGAAAGTAGTTATTAGAAAATTCATTAATGTAAAATAGGAAATCCCAGATAATCTGTCATTTTATCATTGAATACTATTATATCTCTTATTTCTTCTCGCCTGCTCCCCCTTTTACTGTGGTAAACTTTCATACAGATATGTACTTATTCCATGTATTCTGTTAATGTTAATCTAACTATGTTCTCATGTCATCTGCTGTTTGTACTATGAAATAATCTTAGGCTCAACTATTTTTCACCGAGCCTTCCACCGTACTTCAGATACTCATTGAGGACCTTCATTGAAGAAAATAGAATATTATCGGCAAATCTCTGAATAACTTCCTGTCTTTTCTTTCTCCCCTCCTAGGCTATAATTCGTGAAGAAGCTGAAAGTAAGCGTAGATCACGTTCACAAACCTACTTGGATCCAGTATCAGCTTCTAGAACTCCGAGTGCAGCTGTTGAACCGTCTTTCAAACCACGTTTTGCTACTCATCAGTTTGCATGTAAGAATCTGTCTTTTCCTTTTTTGTTTTGTTAATAACATTTATTTTTGCTTGACATCCATTGTTTTATCAAGTGTTAGTTTGCAGAGATTTGATTGGCTACAGGATTAGAAAACCACTGGAAAACCTAAAAGGAGTACTTAACAGCTGTTTCGTCCTAGTTTGCGACTCTACATCAGTACGCACTCATTAGATTTAGGTTAGGAGATGAGTCCGTTGACCTCACAGCTACTGTGGTGGAATGCAATATCTCACGACTTCTAATTTCTACCTATTCGTGATACATATATAACAATAGCAGATTTATTCGGGAAAAGTGCGTATACGCAGGTCATTATTCTCAGCGTTTCGACTCATAGAGTACTTACGTCTTGAGAAGAACTTTCAAGTAAAAAAGTGATCGAAAATACATCATTGCAAGCAATGTTAACCTATGCAAATCACACTGGAATACTCTGCAATGTTTTTCTTACATTTCCTTCAAAAAAATCATTACACTAGGTTGTAACCTATTTAAAATTGGACAGTGCATTTCAAGGACATAATTGGATAATTTAAACAAATATAAAATAAAATAAATTTGATGAGTGAAAAATTAGTAGCTCAGTGATTAATTAAGTAAACGTAGTATGACTACTGCCTAGCTAATATGATAAATTTCCCAGTGACGTCCACTAAGTGAAGGATGAGGACAAATACTTGTCAATGACAGTAGCTGACGGTGAAGCTATGGATCATGTATCTGAAGTAGTTGAAAAATGTATGAACTTCTGGGTTTCATGCCAGTAGCTGAATGGTCAACAAACTCGCCTTGTTTGATTCCCTGTGGAAGGCGGAGGGTAATGATTGCGTGCTGCTCAAGATTCTCAAATGAGAAAGACAGAGCTGTTGAGTCCTGGTTTTCAATGATTCTCTAACTGATCTCAGATAGTTATTGTAACTTGAAACCAGTCAAATCCTTGCAAACGGACAGTTAAAATTTACTCAATTTTTTGTTTTTATTTTATATATATATATTCGTATAAAAGAAGTTTGTGTACTTTTATTTTCCTAATTTCTTTGAAATCAATCGTTTTTTTCGTGTGTGTGTCACGGTTTTACTACTGTCAATAACTTTTTGTTTTGAAAAACTAACAGCAAATTTAATGCCTATTTAAACGTATTACGTTTTGTAAATGTTCTGTTTTTTTGTTTTGTTTTGTTTTGATATTGTTTATCTAAATCTTTTAATGCTATCAATCTTATAAATTTGTGAGTGGTGTTTCGTTTCTCATATTACTTAGATAAGCGAAACATTTTGAGGCGTATTTGCTCAAAATGCATCATTGTGAATGATGTTAGGTAGATAGGTAATCACAGGATTGATCACGAGCTGATATCAGTTGGAAAATCATTAAAAAGCCAGTATGGAGTAATGGACAGCTGTTTCACCCTAGTTTGAGACTCTTCAGGAGTACTCACCCACAGGTGTTCGAACCCAGGACTTTCTGGTCACATGGTGAGGTCGTTGATTATTCAACCACTTGGACATGATCCAATGGTTTATGAATTCCAACTGCTGCTAATTCGCAATAGAAAGCCAGTGTCATTGGCGATTAATCCTCCTCTTGTCTGAATTGGCAGATCGCACTGGTTACGACTTCTGACTAGATCTCTAGGTAGCTTCCTGTATAGAGCCAGTAGCTATTGAGCATCAGAGTAACTTTCAAATCCCTGTTGCAAAAAGCAATGCTTGACAGATACGAAATTAACCATCCAAGTCTTGTGATGATAATTATATATCTGAAGATATCTTTAGAGTTTTAATACTACTTTTTATATGTAAAGAATGCTTTTGTAATCAGAAACTAAAACATCTAAGATATGGCTGACCTAATGATATATATATATATATAGTTGATATTCAGGTAGAAGGTTCTAGGGTTCGATTTTCACTCCATCGACCCTAGTCTCCACGGAAAAATGTACTAAGTTACTAAGTTACAATATTTATTTAGTGGACGGTAACTAGCAGTGAAATCCTTGGGGATGGAAATTTCTTCCTGTTCCAGATTCATCCCAGTTGGATGTACTTACATTCCCCAGTGAATTATCGTGTTCCCAGTGAGACTTGAACCCAGTACCAAACACTATGACAACCACCTTTTTCTTGTACAACGGGCATCAGTTATTTTATTTGTTTTAATGTGACATTATTATAACTTTCATTAATATTTCATATAAAAGTTAAAATGTGATTACTCTTCAACGACTATAAATTTTAGTGAGTTGTTTAGTCGATTTTCACAACTCCAGGGTGCCTATCTGTTGTCGTTTTTATTAGTATTTTTTTGGTTGCATGTTAAAACTTGTAATCAGTTCAATATAACTTTTGTCTTGTAAAATTTTGAAGAAGTAATACTTATCAACAAATTCTTTGAGACAATAATAAACTTTTTCTTCATTTCTAACCCATAATCCATTATATCTACCAAACAAAAAAAAAGAAAACAAAAGTCGATACGTCTCCTTTTTTTCAGGCACTCAAAGTTGACAGTCATTGATCTCATACTGATACTGTTTACTTTGAGAAGCTTGTTCGACTTAACTGTAATCATCTTTTTAAAACACTTTCTTTTGGATGATGATATCTAGTTAGCAGTGGAATTCATGGTAGCGCCTGTTTCGTCCTTTCTTGGGATTTGTTAGCCGGCTGTGCATGCATTCCCAATAAAATGATGAGGGTACAGTTACGTCCATCTAACGAATGACAAATAGTACAAAGTGTACATCACGAATTATACTTCTGACCATCATCCACTAAATATCATCAGGTTAGCCTCAACGCATCGTTTCAGCATATTACAATGTCATCAGAGAGTGTGTATCTTAATTGAAAATTATTTGAAAAAAGTCACATCTGACAAATCGTTCCTAAGATTATAGGATGCATAAAGTAAAATCAATTCCTTTTCAACAGTTGATTCTTTCAGGTTATTAATTTTGCTATGAGCCAGGTTTGCTTGATATCAGCTTCAGTCGTCATGACAAAACCCAACTTCCCCGAAGATCAACCGAGTCCTTAAAAACCTAACTTCTACATCATAATAACGTTTGTTAGCCTCCTAAACTGTTGTTTTCTCAGTGAGTTTCTAAAGAAGCTATCCCGAGTGGAACAAATGACTTCAAGCTTCATGTCCGAAGTTTCAGTAACGGTGTTGTTTCCTCTTTACTAGTTTAATGCCCCACCTTCTTTCTTCATCGGGTTTACTGCAAGCTAAGTGAAGTTAAAGAGTCTGCTGGCCGGGAAACGAACCCTGGACCACGTGTATGGTTTGCGAACATTCTTCCATAGAACAGCTGACACACATCATTAGAGTATAATAAAGTTGTTTTGTTGAGTTATGCATTGAAATAAGACATCTAGAATTTCAAAATTACATTCTACCAACTAATATTGGCTAAATAAGCATTACTGATTAGTCTGTCTGTCTGTTTTCGACATAGAACTTCGCATCGATGCGCAGCAGTTCAAGTCGCCACACTCCATGTAGCATACAAAGCAAGAGAAGAAATTAGAAGAAATGCATAATAGAGACTGTAAACAGAGGTGTGAGACAAAGGAATAGTAATCACGAAGAACAAAACAGTTTCATTGGAAATCATAAGTCACAAGGAGTGGATGCATGTGCGCCAGCCATTGAGAACGATTTTGAGCCATGTCACCAATTGCTTCCAACCATTGGTTTTTACCGTCCCGAGGACCCCAACCAGGAAGTCTACACCATCCTACGTGGTCTAGACTAACTGTTGTGGATTTCATTGACTGGTGCCATGTTTTGGTTTCACTGCCGCTAGCTCTTTTCCAGTCTGACCGTATGTCATCTAACATTTCCCATCGAGGAAGGCGATGACTAGGCATACGTAACACATGTCCTAACCATCTCAGTCGATGTACTGTATATGAACATTAAAGCAGTCAATATTTTCATAGTTTCGTCTCTTGAGTGTTTCCAAATACTGTACATATCTTTGACGAATTCTTCATTCAGATTTTTAAAATCTTGTTTTCTGGTATTCTAGTAAACTTAAGTATGTAATATATATATGTAGTGGAAGCAGGTTAATTGGTGACAGATATTATTGATTTGTATGGCTTTTAGCTTACAGAAAAAAAGAATAGTGGTGATTTCCCATGGGTTTAAAAAAAACAGTGACTGAAATTCTATCAACTTTTCTCTGATTCTGTTGCATAACATAGGTACATCATGATATAAATAGAAGCGCATATATATATCCTGCTTCCAGTTACAATTTGTTGGTGATAATTTAAAGACTGATTCAGCCGAGATGTGTAAATATAGCACTAGAAGAAAGTCAACTAAGTTTATGTAATTTGATTTTTGATTTTCCCGTCTACTGATTGGACCGACGTGCTCGGTCTCAGGTTGACATGTCGGCTCCTTGTGCAGCTTCAACGATGTCTGGTCATGTAACTTGAAGTCAGCTGGTTGGTGGTGACTAGCAGTGGAATCTAGGATGCTCATTTCATAGTGTTTGGGACTCGTTAGCTGGATTTATTTGCACTGCTAGTCACCCTCCTCCAATAGACTTCAAGTTACATGACCTGACATCATCGAAGCATCTGTACAAGGAGCCGACATGTCAACCTGAGACCGAGCACTTCGGTCCGGTCAGATGACGGTAAATTAAAATCGAAATTGAATAAAATAATTATTAGGACCTATTGGCTCACGTGGTCTAAGTGGCATCTGAAACTACAGGTGCTGGGTTCGAGCCCCGGGGGAAACTAAGTTTTGTTTGTTTTTGTTGCAACTGAAAGGTAGGTATTATTAATTAACTGAAGGTCAGTTAATCCGAAAAGATTTTAGGTGGACTAGGTTATGACCCGCACGTATTGTGTGGTCAATAATATTAACCACAGTTGCCCAAGTAGAAGTATGTGAAGCTGGAGTCGCATCTACGACCTAGCGTCTGAAGTCGAGTGGTTAACCAGTGTG